TCTACATTATTGGATTTTCTCGGCAATATCCTACGAAATCTCAGAGCTGCCGAGATAGGGTAAAAAAACATAAAAGAACAATTCATTGTTTAGCTTAATATTTTCCTTGTCCTTATTTGGTTCTATCCCAATATCTCCCCCCCCCCCTCCCCACCAACAGACAGTGGAATATTTTAGGGGGTGGTAGATAGGCTAACCAACCTCGAAAATATTGGACTGTCCTGTGACGTCATCCTGTGGAGAGATGTTGGGAAAGCACACAATATTGTCTTACATTTTAAAAAGCCTGTAGTTTGTATACTTTTCCTCAGCGTGTCTGTCACATTTCACATTCGTCAGCTGTTGACATCACCTCAACAGCAGTCACCCCTACAATTTCCTCCGCGTTCTTTTCCTCAGTTGCAACATCGCATTGTTGTGTAACCCAACATCACCCGCTTGCAACGGCGCGTTGTTGTGAAACGCAACTCCCGCAACGGTACAGCACCAAACGTCACTGAACTAGAAATAAAAACAGTTCAAAGACGAACCGCTTGCAGGTGTTCAGTTAAAACGTCTGCCAAGATATTTTTTTCTTCTGCTCGCTCCATTTGTTTCTGTTTTCAAGTGGGTTTGTTATAAGCACTGTATTTATTACTGTGAAAGATGTGTCGTTTTGTCTGTATGTTTTTTTTCCCCTTCCCCAACTCGCATTGGCTTTGCACAGATGGTGTATAGAGACATCAAAGAGAACTAGTTTATTTATGATTGTGTTTAAAAAGGTGACATATGTTAGCGTGCAAATTACGATTTTAATGCATGTCTGTGTGTCATCGTATCTATTTAGATTCGTTTTAATCTATCTATTTAAGTTCTTGTTCATCGTATATATTCAGGTTCGCTTTCATCGGATCTATTTAAATTCTTTTTCATCGTATATATTTAGATTCGCGTTCATCGTATCTATTTAGATTCGTTTTAGGAAAGTATGTCGGTCACTTATGTAATAGTATGTGGTGGATCGAAACGCGATGATATCGTAGCCCAGATTAGTGTCACGTCACAACTTAACAACCACCTTGTTATGTGGGAATGAAGAAAAAAAGGGGTGCGGGGGGTGGGGGGGGGGTGATGAATTCTGTTTTTTAAGGTTGTGGAGTGATACGATGTTTCTATGGGTCCCAGGTGCAGTCATGGGAAGTAAAGACGACCGGCATGATGTTGACTATATCACCCACCAAGTGCCGATTGGTCTCCAAAACATAGGCCTAGCCCTGTATGCCCAATGCGCCTGAGGCCGTGCAAAAGGGTCGTTTACTCTTAATTTACTTGCTGTTTGGATCCTATCAGGATCGAATCACGTGCTGTTTGATTGGGGCTGTTCAGCTAAGTTTATTTACGGCGGTTGGGGGGGGGGGGGGGGCCTTATATTCCTTACCTTTCTTTTGCATTCACGGGCTGTAAACTCCGACGAAAAGTTCTGGTTGCTCATTAACTTCTCGACTCAAATTTTGTTCCAGAACCCGTCTTTGGTGCACATCCGTTTTTCAGATCGGGCTTACTTGTGTGCAGACTGTTTGTTCCTCGTCTCTCAGGCTGATGCGCTTTAACTTTGTAGGAAGCATCCTCAATGAGTCAACTATTACTACCTGCTTGATAGGGGGTAGTGGGTTTATTCTCCGCCCCCGGTCATAATGGGTCCCCGGAACCCACACTGGGAGGCCAGCGTATTCAGAGGGAGCAACCTCACGGGCCAGGCCCCTAAGCTCCAGTATTTACATATCATTAATACAAAACAGTCGGCTCTGTGGCTAAGTCGATGCGAACGCTTCGTAATGCCGGGGTACCGGGCTTGATTCCAGCTGCAGGCCATGCGCCTCGTGTTGGTTTTGACAGTGGTATCAGAGGACCAACCGTCCATAAAGCAATGGCAAATTATTGGACGTAAATTTGCCTAAAGAAACCACACAACAGCCAGGGGCTGCTGGGGTTGGTTCTGCAACGTCCTGTAAAGGATACGCAACTAACCTAATACAAAACAGTCGGCAATGATTTGCGGGCCACTTGCTGTGCCTCCGCGAGCGAAAATGAGCAGGCAGGCCGCTGTCTCGACTGTTGCTCGCACTAAGAATAGCTATTCATTCTCTGCCATCCCCGAGTGGGGATGCGATTTTTCGTTATTTTGAAGATCCACCTTGGCTGGTGCCAGGGGCCGCCATATAGCTTGACGGTTAAACGCGGTTTCCGCGACCTCCACGGGTGATCCTCATCCGCATGGTGGCACTTTGTGTCACCGGGTGTTTATCGCTCTGTGTGATGTCCTGGTGGGGTAACATTGTCTTACTTACACTTTTCTCTTTCAAGGCAGATTGTCGCTGGAGCTACGAAGCTTTTGCACTGTGCGACACACTCTACAGCCTTCCAGCCGCTGTATGGGTATAGAGAGACCTTTCCATACACGACAGATAACACAGGGTGCAGCGGAGAAGCTTCTCACCTTTCTTCAAGCACATTTATAACCTCTAGTGGCCCGGATCTCTAGCGGAATTGGCTAAACCGGATTTCGCGGAGACCGGGTGATGTACTCCGTGTGGTCCGGGTTCAATCCCGGGGGTAGGCAGGAAAGCCACATTTTCTCCCAGATTTACCGTATTTACAATGGAATCAAGGCCGAAAGGTTGCGATATCCATAATACCGAGCCTAAGGGTTAACAACTCATGGTTTCTGGATACTCAAACAAACATAACCTCTAGTATTTGTGTTGGCGTCTGTGGCTTAGGCGTTGCCGGGTTCGATCCTAGCTGCGGGCCTTGCATCGATTTCGACAGTGGTATCGAGAAGCCGACCGTCCAGTAAACAATGGCCAATCATGAAAGAAAAAAATCATAACTTATTTCTTAACATAGCAAAAACAAAGACAATGCATACAAACAAAACTGCCATGGAGAAGGAAATATATGTTTATGAGGAAAGATTGGAAGTGGTGGAAAATTTCGAATATCTTGGGTCACTGGTTACCAACAATGGTGACACAATGAAAGAAATTAAACGGCGACTATCAATTGCTCTTCAAAGACTAAAACAACTGAATAAATTATGGAATTGTACAGATAGAATTACACAGGTCAGATTTTTAAGAGCATGCATCTTTCCCATTGCAACATACGCCTGTGAGACCTGGACACTTACTAAACAAGCGGAACAGCGCATAAATGCATTTGAATATAAATGTTACAGACAGGTTCTAAGAATATCTTGGGTAAAGAAAAGAACAAATGCATCCATACTTCAAGAGCTGAATATTGAAGAGGGTTAGCTAGTAAAGACAATAAAACAAAGAAAATTGAAATATTTTGGTCACTTGAAACGTCATGGAAGTCTAGAGAGAACAATAATGGAGGGGTATATGCCTGGGAAGAGAGGAAGAGGAAGGCCAAGGAGAAGATGGGTGCAGGATGTGGCAGATGATCTCCAGATGGGTGTATCAGACGCAGGACATCTTGCTCAGGATAGGAAGGTTTTCCGGAGGGTTGTTATGGCAGCGAGGTTCCGCGAGGGACATGCTACTGAATGAATGAATGAAATGTGCCTAGAAAAGCCACAACAGCAAAAAATGCTGGGGTTGGTTCTGCAACGTCCTGTAAAGCATACTCAACTGACTTAACTTGTCATGAAACTAAGAACTTAGAGACAAACTTTATTTCAGGCAATCGCTTAAAAAAAAAAAACAGTTTTCCGACTGGAAAATTCTCAGCTGCAATGTTTGTATAACTTTCCACTATTAGCCTTCTCATCAGACACCGCACTACCGCCCCCCCCCCCCCTTTTTAAAAATCAAGGACATATAAATTTCTGCGTTCTGCGCTGTAAAGGGCGGCTAGTACATTGTATTTGGTTTAATAGCTACGTAGCTGCCGTTTAGGCTTTAAATGGCAGACACGTTTCATAGTTCCGAGGTGAAAGTTTCGATCCCAGCTGCTGGCGATTTGGCAGCAGAGCGGCTTGCGTTGGTTAAGACAGTGGTATCGAGTACCTACCGTTCGTTCGTTCTTCTTCTTCTTCTTCTTCTTCTTCTTCTTCTTCTTCTTCTTCTTTTTCTTTTTCTTCTTCTTTTTTCTTCTTCTTCTTCTTCTTCTTCTTCTTCTTCTTCTTCTTCTTCTTCTTCTTCTTCTTCTTCTTCTTCTTCTTCTTCTTCTTCTTCTTCTTCTTCTTCTTCTTCTTTGAGTTCTTGAGCTGTAAACTCTTGCGAAAAGCTATGTTGTTCGTCCATTTCTAGACTTTGGGTCTGGTTCCTTAACTTGGTATTTGCGTGCACATCAATGTGACAGATCATGTTTATGCAAACTTTTAGTTTCTCGCGTTAGAGTCAGATGCACTGTCACTTCGAAGGAAACTCCTCCAATTATTATTACTACTTACATTGTTACTTACATTACATTACTAATAATAATACGTACATTACTTATTTCATATTTACAGTTACACACACTCGACATTCAAAGAACAGGTTCCCATAACTCAGTCGCCGTTCGTTTGCTTTGTCATTATGGATGTTTATTTAACCCAGTGGTTCTCAACCTTCCTAATGTGGCACCCCTTTTATACAGTTCCTCATGTTGTGGTGACCCCCAACCATATAATTATTTCCGTTGCTACGTCATAACTTCAGTGAATATTTATATGTTTTCTGATGGCCTTTGGCGACTCCTGTGAAAGGGTCGTTCGACCCAAAAGGGGTCGCGACCTATAGGTTGAGAACCGCTGATTTAACTTCCAAAAAAGTTAATCTCGTCTACTTTCCTATCTTTTCAGTTTTTAATAGAATTTTCTTGTCTCTTTCTCGTTGCATTAACAATTTCTTAACTCGTTTTCATTGTATTTAGTTTCTTGACTCTTCCGTTTTATTAACAGTTTCTTAACGCTTCCATGATTTATTAACAGTTTCTTATCTCTATCATATTCCATTCGTACGTTGTCATCGTTTTTTAACAGTTACTTTTTTCTTCCATCACAGGTCAAGATAACCAGATTGAAGCCGAAGCTCGGATACAAGACTTCTTACCATTGGTTCAAACAAATTGCTCAAGTCTGCTCAAATTTTTCTTATGCTCGCTGTATGCGCCAATGTGCACGGAGATGGTCGGTGAAGCACTCACTATCCCAGCTTGCCGCTCCATGTGTCTTCAGGTGAAAGCCAAATGCGAGCCCCTGCTGAAGACTTTCAACTTCGAATGGCCGGAGATGCTGGCCTGCGATAAGCTTCCAGAGAAATCGGATCCGAGAAATAATTTATGCATGGCAGCACCGAATGTAACCGAAGATCCAGATAGTGCGGCTGGTTCTCTGGTAAGGACTGGAATAGAGGAACCGGATATGAGTAAATTTCTGAAGACGACCCTTATTGATAAAATTCACAAAAACCCTTGGGCGATTCTTCCGGCGACGACTGATAAATCCAAGGGTTCACAGACGATGATTGATCCCTGCCCGCCAAGGTTTGTTCACGTGGACAATGTTCCGAGATCTGACAACACTTGTGCTCCGCGATGCGATGTGGATGTTCTGTTTCGTCAAGAGGACAAGAACTTTGCTGATGTTTGGATGATCGTCTGGTCGGCCTTGTGCTGCTTCTCCACTTTACTAACGGTAACAACGTTTGCTGTGGATTCTTCCAGGTTCAAGTACCCAGAAAGACCGATAATTTTCCTATCTGTTTGTTATTTAATTCAGTCAGCTGCCTATATTATCCGAGCATCCACGGGTGCAGATGCCGTCTCGTGCGACACTGCCCGAGATGGCCGGCCCTTTGTGATTCAGGAAGGATTAGAAAGCACTTGGTGTATCATCGTTTTTCTTCTGCTGTACTTTTTTGGCATGGCGTCCGCTATCTGGTGGGTCATTTTGACCATCACCTGGTTTCTCGCAGCTGGTCGCAAGTGGGGCCAAGAAGCCATAGAAGCTCTATCCAGCTACTTCCATCTGGCAGCTTGGGCCATCCCTGCTGTCAAAACTATCGTCATTCTAACCATGCGACGCGTGGACGGTGATGAACTAACCGGATTATGTTACGTTGGAAATCAAGACCCGAACGCCCTGACATCATTTGTTCTAGTTCCTCTCATTGTGTATCTCAGTATCGGATTCATCTTCATCTTTGCCGGTTTTGCAGCAATGATGAGAATAAGAAGCAATCTGAAACAAGAAGGCGGTAACGCGAACATCCGCAAACTAGAAAAACTTATGGCGCGAATTGGAGTATTTTCAATTCTCTACACGGTTCCAGCAGCCTGTGTCATCGGATGCCATTTTTACGAGCGGATAAACTTTAAACGCTGGCGGAAACAAGCGATGAGTCTACCTTGTAGTTTAGGCTCGACTGCACAGTCAACGCCACCAGCTAATCCCCACGACTGTCCTCTGGAACATTCTATACCCACAGTGGAAATCTACATGTTAAAACTCTTTATGTCCCTAGTTATCGGCATCACCAGTGGTATGTGGATCTGGAGCGGCAAGACCTTGGCTTCATGGAAGACCTTCTGTTCCAGAAGGTTTTCCAGAAGGAAAACCCACAACTTCAACGCCGACTACCACCCGGCTCCAGTGATTTTAATGAAGAACAGTCAGCAAAGCACCTCTAAATCTGGCAGCCATAGCCTGGCGACGGCGTCCACAAGTACTAAGATTTTGGTAGCAAGAGTATGACCCAGAGACTCCGTGAATTGTACATAAAATTTTACTACTGCCAAGAAAACCACAGACTATTTCGTCTCTCTGATAAAGGGATTTGCCCTTTGTTTACTGGGCGTTGCAGAACCAACCCAGGCATTTACGGCTGATTAGTTTTACTAAGCAAATTTTTTTTCTCCACGTTCAGTGGTTTGTCATTGAACACTAGACGGTTGACGCTTCATACCATTGCAGAAGTTAGCCCAAAGCGATCTGCTGATAAAACCCCAGTATCTAACCGGGTATTTTGGAATTAGAAAAATGGTTCTTGGCACCTTATATCGCAGACACCGACCTCTTGCGTCTGCAAGAACTAAAATGCTAACAGTATATTTAGCACCCCGTTCTTCGTAAATGTAATGTAGACATCTCACTAAAAGCACAACTTATTGTATCAAGTACTAGAATACTTGGAACAAGGGAGTCCCATAACCAGGGTGAATTTACTGCTTACATGAGTTTTAAAACATTAGCAGCACACATTATCATTCTATGGCTGGGTAACATTGCCATACCATGAGCTGTAGACGTAACATTGCCACTCTATGGGCTGTCGGCGTAACATTGCCACTCCATGGGGTGTCGGCGTAAACATTGCCACTCCATGGGCTGTCGGCGTAACATTGCTATCCATGGGTTGTAAGTGTAACATTGGCTGTAAGTGTTTAACAGTGCCACTCTGTAAGCTGTAAGTGTTTAACATTACCACACCATAGGCTGTAAGTCTAACATTGCCACTCCATGGGCTGTAAGTGTAACATTGCCACTCCATAGGCTGTAAGTCTTAAATTGTCACTCTGTGGGCTGTAAGTGTAACATTGCCACTCTATGTGTTGCAAGTGTAACATTACCACACCATGGGCTGTAAGTGTAACATTGACACTTCATAGACTATAGATGCAACATTGCCGCTCCATGGGCCGTGGGTGTAACATCATGCGCTATGGATGTAACATTGCCACACCATGGCTTGTGAGCGTAACACTGTCGCACAATGGCTTGTAAATACTGACACAAATATAACCAGACAGACCTTGCTCTAGTCGATATTTTACAGTTACAGTTCTGGGGCGCTGAGGGCTGATTGAGTGCTGATGCTCTTATCCGGCGTTTTAACTTCTGATTTGCTGGTAGACTGAATTACTGTGTCGTGAAAATACGTTCGTCGAACAACTGTGCCGCCAGCGCGAACAGTTTGAGAATCCTTGGACTAAACATTATATGCGAAATCTAAGAGTAGATTTCTTCTCATATATATTCTGTGTGAAATCTGAAAAAGATTTCTTGTTATGTATATAGGCTGTGTGAAATCTGAGAGAGTGGATTTCCTGTTTTGTATATATTCTGTGAAATCTGATAGAATGGGTTTCTTGTTATGTACATATATCCATGGATTTTTGTGATATCGGTACTTTGAAGTGAGATTCTGAGTGATAAAAAGTAGTTGCTAGACACTAGAAAAAGCAGTTTTTAGGACGATAACAATTGTAAGCAGAACAAGTTGTAGACGGCGTGGCGCATTTTCTTGCTGTTTACAGCTAGGTTGCGATATCTGCGTCTTTTGACCCAATGCATCATATTGCAGAAAACCCTTAGTTAGTTGCCTGCTAGGACATGCATTCTAGATGCAATGGCTCCGATCTTTTTCTGCCCTAACAAATAGAACAAGGAATCCAGAACTGAACTGAATTTCTACCCCACCAGGACATCACACAAGCGATAAACACCCGATGACACAAAGTGCCACCATGTGGATGAGGATCGCCGTGGAGAGGTCCCAGAAACCGCGTTCAGACATTTGGCCATATATGGCCTGCCTATATTGCGGCCCCCGGCAAAAGCCAGAGTAGGGCTTCAAATGACAAAAAATTTCGTCCTAAGAAGGACGAAGTTGCGATAATTATAAAGGAATCCACAGTGTGGTCGGCTTTTATAACCACAGCAGCTAGCTCTTTTTGGCAAGTTTTTGGTCCATAGTCCTGACATGATTTTATAATAGCCTCCTCGTCACATTCTTCTTCTTTTATTCTTCTTATTATCAGTATTATTTGTTCTTTTTATTATTGTTCTTCTTCTGCTGCTACTACTGCTACCACTACTGCAACCACCTCCGCCAGCAGGACACTGCAGCCTCAACTACCACATGCATAGATAATGACTGTAGTCTCCACAGTGTGTCTGTCAGACAGGACCACAAACACCTGAGCACATTTTGCAGACCTGCCCACTCTACTTACAACTTCGAAAACAAACCTGGCCTCAAGAGCAAAAAATGTGTGCAGAGCAAGCTATGGGGAACCATGGAGGACCTGCTGCTGACATGCGAGTTCATATAGGCAATCCACCGGATGGTCTGATCTCAGCATACACTATACCGAACGCAAAGAAGAAGAAGAAAACAGAGAGAAAGAGAGAGAGAGAGAAAGAGAGAGAGAAAAGATGCTGGACAGTTTGACATCATGGCATGGAAAATTGTGTGAGATTTTATAAAAACTACAAAAGACATGACCACCAAAGAAGATGTACTTTCGTAACCATCTAATTTTCTAGTGTTTTGTTTTTTAAAACCTATTTTTAATTTGATCTCTTTCTAGTGTCTAGTTTATTTTTGCATTCTGTGATAAGGCCGCTTCTCAAAAGATTCCTGGTCCTTTTCATCTTATTTGTTTACAGTTCAAGTTTCGGGGTTGTAAAGTGCTGTGGCGCAGATATCTCCCGTGATTATTCGTTTCCGCAGTTCACATTACTTGAAGTTAGAAATGTTTGTTTCTCACCCAAACATCATTTTTTTAAAATTCTGTTTTATCTCCTCCTCATCATCCTGCTTTAGCATTCCTTTGAGGTTCATTACTGCAGATATCGCTTGTTTCTAGTTGTCTGTGTTATTTGCTTTCTCTTTCTGGTTGGTGTCTCTAGGTTAGGTTAGTTAGTTGCGTATGCTTTACATGACATTGCAGAACCAACCCTAGGATGTGGCAGCCGGGGCCTCTAGGATGTGGCAGCTGGGGCCTCTAGGATGTGGCAGCCGGGGCCTCTAGGATGTGGCAGCCGGGGCCTCTAGGATGTGGCAGCCGGGGCCTCTAGGATGTGGCAGCTGGGGCCTCTAGGATGTGGCAGCTGGGGCCTCTAGGATGTGGCAGCTGGGGCATCTAGAATCTGGCAGCTGGGGCATCTAGAATCTGGCAGCTGGGGCATCTAGAATCTGGCAGCTGGGTCCTCTAGGATGTGGCAGCTGGGTCCTCTAGGATGTGGCAGCTGGGTCCTCTAGGATGTGGCAGCTGGGGCATCTAGAATCTGGCAGCTGGGGCCCTCTAGAATCTGGCAGCTGGGTCCTCTAGGATGTGGCAGCTGGGTCCTCTAGGATGTGGCAGCTGGGTCCTCTAGGATGTGGCAGCTGGGTCCTCTAGGATGTGGCAGCTGGGGCAGAGAACCTGGGCGCTACTTGAAGGGAGGCGCCCCCCCCCCCCCAAAAAAAAAAAACACTGTCTGAAGTGGCAGAGTTTTGTCTGTAGGCACTTCGTCATTCCTATAAATTTCACCTGCAAAAACTAATAGGCTTCCTATATGCACTAAAGTCGTTTTTTTTTTCTTCCTTTCCGAAGTATTCAAACCGCTTTAAGGGTAGGTGTGCTGCGACATTTTGTGTGTGTGTGTGTGTGTGTGTGGCTGGACAGGGGTGCCGCGGCAAAAAAGTTTTAGAACCGCTGCTGTAACCTATCTTCTTCAAGGTCTGCCTCTTAAGTGTTTCCGTGTTCACGTTAGTGCCTCATGTTCTGTTGATATACTGGGTTAGCCCCATACACGTCATCGTTTCGGATCAAAGAAACTCGTTCTATATTACTCAGTGCAGACCGCTTAAGGCGATATCGGATGTTACAAACTTCTGTTGTGAAGAACAATTTGCTTTTCCCCGGCAATTTTTCTTGCTTCAGCTTTTATCTGAATAAGAGAAATGTTCTGATAAGAAGAACCATTTCTTGGGTCACCGGTGAGTTTTCATCAAGTCTATAGTTTTTATTAAAAATTTTTTTACCTTACTTTCTGCGAAACATAGAGAATAATTTAAATAGAATAATTTAAACAATTACTAACACAGTAAATACATTCATTAACTGGTGGCTGCGCAAAACAGAGGCAATTCACTTGCATGATATAATTGCTGTTATTAAGCTTTACACCAGAACAGAAAATTCTGTGGGATCCAGAGGCGAATAAAAGACGCTGGCGTTGTATAGGTCAAGGGTTCAGAACATCTGAGAACAGAACTAGAATATCTTTGCAATGGAACCATAGGTGCATATAAATAGACCCCCCCCCCCCTTTCTCCCCCGTAAAGGGAGAGATAGAAAATCAAGTTGAAACGATTACTAGGATATGGGTGTTAGATGCGTGCAACTTGAAATGATAGGATAATATGAGTGAGCTGGTTGAGAGCCTATGCTCCATTTGTGGATAAAGGGTGGAAGAAGAAGACATTGGGTTTCAGCGTGTTTGTTCTGAATTATTGCAAACAGAAAAGCCATTCAATAGTTAATAAAGACTGAGATTTTGTATGTGCGTCCAATTGAATGTTTTTTTTTTTTTTTTTCTATATTAAAATTGATTTGTTTATTTTGCCTGACTGTCTAAGTGCCACCATGTTTTTAATTTGCATCTATGCATTTTAAAAACAATCTCATGTGTTTATTTATCTGTGATTGCAATCCATTTGGTTTAGGTTGAAAATAAACCAATCAGATTTTGCCTTTTTTTTCGTAGACCAATCAAATTGTTTTTGAATATGCACACAAAATAATTCTCTTCTGACGTAAACCACTCACTGTTTTTAGACCAATCGTTTCTGTTGTTACTATAACTCGATTTTGATCCTGCTTCCAGACCAATCAGAATTGGGTTCTCAGATGTTATGTAAATTTATATAATTTTCGCAGGCTTTCGACTGCTTTTATAGTTTAAATTTTGTTTAATACAAATTA